ATCTTTAATGAGACTTAAAATGTTTGCATGCCTTATACAAGCGATGTATAAACTTTAGATGTGTTTTTTGCTTGTGTTCATATGACATTTGAAAATGTAATGTTTTATTGAATATTTTAAAAGCTTATTTTTTCAGGGATTCTTTTCAGCCCAAGTTAGAAATCTCCTTTTTGTTGGTGTTTATAAAGTTGTTTTGTGTGTATACTTGTCTCTTGCTTAGCCATCAGTTTTACCGTGGCTGGTAATCAACAGTTTCCTGGTCATTTCCCAGATTTTCACCAAGCTATTTACAATAAAGTCACTGGGTCTGTTTTAATAAGTTAAAGGTAATTGCTCTCCTGGGTATTTTTAGACGGTTTTACAACATTGTTTTTCCTCCTCTCTTTCACTTGAGGGGGGAAACTGTGATTGGGTTTGGATATTCCCAGTCTGAGCTAGCTGTCACAGCTGTTGGTAATGTTTTTTTTTTCTTTTTTTTTTAGCATGGTACACAGTGCAACATTTTATTTACTTTCCACACAAACCACTAGATTTTAAACCTTGGAAGTATGAAATAAGCTTCACAGAAGTCGGTCTTGCTGTTTCTGCTGTGCTTTCTGTTTTTCCAACTTTGTATTGTATTTAAAAAATGCTGCACGGTGAACAGAGACGTGCCACATTCAAATAAAGCTGTAAGTTTGTCAAGTAGCTCAAGCACAAAAAAAAAAGGTAAAGCAGAAGTTTTTATTGGTTATGGTGGATAGTTTGTTTGTCTTTACTCAAAAAGAGAAAATACAAAAATGATGAAACAAAAAGTTGTGACGAGTTTTAAGTGTTTCTATTAACAGTGAGCATTTTAAGCAGAAACAGTCTGAATTTGTATTTAATGATTTGGGCTAATTAATACAGAATAACTGCCAGCTCAACAAACTGTTTAAAAGCAGAGAAAGCAGTCTGAACAAGCACTAATCTCAGCAGCTGCTTTATGATTTAGAACCGTTGTCTGCTTAATGGTTTTGCTTAAAATATGAGTGTCTACACGGCCGGGGCCTACGTTGGATTAAAGTTTACTCACCCAAAGTCCTGCAGCTGAAAACGCTCTAATGAAACACGCTTCAGGTACGGAGACAGCCTGGGATCTTTATATTTCTCCATCTGTTCAATGTAAACGGTCACTGCACCTGTGGACCATAGCTTCTACTTTATTCTGCTTTCTGCTGACACTTAATTCTGGAAACCAAACTTTATTTTGTAAATATTAAATGAATATACAGTGGGGAAAATAAGTATTTAGTCAGTCACCAATTGTGCAAGTTCTCCCACTTAAAAAGATGAGAGAGGCCTGTAATTGACATCATAGGTAGATC